CTGGTCCTGGGAATTCCAGGCGCTGCAGTATCCCCCTTCCCAATGATTGTGATCTGGTTCTTGGCACCTGGCTCATGATTACAATGCTGCAGTGGGCCATGGTCACATGATCACAATGTCTGGCTTTCCACAAGCAAAGTCAATGGGAAATATGGCAGGAAGTTGGATCATATGAGATCCTTGCTTAACAACCCATGCAGTTGTTGCTTAAAAATGACAATCGGGACTGCCAATCATTGCACTTTACAACCGCATTGGTTAGTAATGGCAATTCCTGTCCCAATTACCAGAGTAAATCAAGGACTACCTGCATAGCTTTTAGCAGTTTTGATTGAATGACTTGAAGTGTTTTTGAAGATGTACAATTAAACACCGTATAGCATTACAGCTAGAATTTTAGCACTAAATAATTTAACTGCTGTTTGGACAGAGATGCTACAATGTTGGACTGTATATTTAACAATCTCTAGGGATGTTTTTAAAGTCTTATTTTAAGATCACTCATTTGCTGGTGCAATGGATGGAAGTTTGAAAGTAATCCCTTAAGTATTTAGTGGTTTTAACCTAGTGAAAAAGTCTCCCACTGATCTTCCAAATAACTGGCAACATAAGCACTTTCTCGGGAATACTAAAACCTTTGTTTTAGTATTCTCTAGAGCCAGTTTAGACATAAAAGCAAGCTGGGTGACCTTGGATCAGTCACTCACTCTCTGCTCTCTAGGAAGGAGGCAAAACCAAACCATCTTCAAAATCTTGCCAAGAAAACTGCAGGGACTTGTTTATGCAGTTGCCAGGATCAACACTGACTCAAAGGAACACATGTGCACAAACAAAATCTCTAGAGAAGTAAGATGATAGAGGGTTAAATAATCCATGTGTACTCAGATGAGTTATAGACAGAATACCTAAATCATCCATAAATAAAAATGGAGATGGGATAGTGGATAAGAGAATTCTGGTTTAGCAAAAAAATTCAATGTTATCACTGATATAAACACTGAAAAGAAATGGGGCAAGAAAAGTTCCTTGTTTAATGTCTTTTTGGTGTTCAGTTGAATTTCTTTTGTGATTAGTCTTCAGTTGTGTAGTAACATCTGGTGCAAGGTTGTTATAATTAAAAGAGACAGCATTCAATCAATGCAACAGCTAATTTCTTCCAGAGTCTGTCACATGGAAGTGAATCAAACTCTGCCCTTTAATTTATAAAAGCAACATACAGTTTTTGATTAACTGGAGTATGTCTTGGCTAGGTGATGTTAATTTATGCTTTGGTCCATTGTTGAATGTTGAAATCTGAATGCTGCCTGTTCAGGGATCAAACTGTTCTCTGATAGTATCCAATTCAATAGTCTCTATTATAAAATATAGTATATAGTTAGCTGATTATGAATAAAATACTAGTTGGTCAATAATCAGTTGAGTCACACTTGGTTAAGTGTGGGAAAGAAAGAAAAGGAATAAAAGGATTAAAAGTCTTAAATTTCTTAGTCTACCACAAGGATAAGTGGTAGATTATATACAAGAGAATAACTTGGATAAGAAGGAAAGAAACTTAAACAATTTCCCAAAATTAATGAGGTGGGAACCACTGTTCAATTGCAATCAAGAAGAAAACTCTTGTGCTTTGACTTGTACAAATTTATTCTGGGATGCAAAAATAGTTTTGATTTTTTTTGGTATGATCACAAAGTCTAGGAAACCTGTTCTGGGTTTGGAATGAAAATTTAGACTCTTAAGAAGATAACATTACTCAATTAATTCTAGGTTCTATAATAGGGTTGGCATAATATTCACCAGTAATTCTTTTCCTTAGTCTCCCTCCCCCAGTCTCTTCTCCCACACAGACACAGAGACACACAGACACACACACACAGACACACACACACACACACACACACACACAGAGAGAGAGAGAGAGAGAGAGAGAGCAAGAATTTCTCTTTCTGATGAAGGATAATAGAGCACTAATTATAACACAGTAATTTTTTGTTTTAAATTAATGAATACTGTCAGTGTAACAAATGCTATTTTTACTAATTTTGGTCCAATGAAGCTTTAAATCTAGTCTAATCTTACTCGGTTAAGAGTGTACCAAATTATCAGTTTGTTAGTATTCGATTTAGCCAGCAAGCTGCCTATTTACTAAGAGAACATTTGATTCAAAATAGCTGTGACATTTCATTAGTGGACATCCACTATTCACTTAGACTGCAGGCATCCAATTTAAAGCAAAACTAGCCTGGTTGCTTCAGCCTCTGTCTTTCATATTTAAAGAACCGTGTTGTCCTAGATCACATGGAGGAGGATTTACAAAATTGAAAATACTGAATACTCTGCCATAGGGCATAAACTAGGAAACACACATCCTTGCAGAGAAGGGAGAGAATAACAGGACTGAATAACAGATTTTATCTGAATAAAAAAAAATTCTCTGTATTTTACTGTGTTCCTCTGAAATATTTAGTCATATATAGGGAACTATATATAGTCTTTTAATCAACAGCATTAACAAGAAAATGGAAAGAAAGAAAAGGCCATTTTCCTCTTCACACCGAGAAAGGCTTTATTCCAGATGCTATTCTCTCACTGAATATTCAATTTGCTTCAGATACATCTACTAAACAGGTGCACACGAATTAACATTTGGGGTTGTTTAGAAGCCAAACCAATCTACCTATCTGCCTAGCCCAGCCACTATCTTGTCTTGTCAGACACAACATATCATTAGCATCATGACAGTATTTCATAAAATCTACTCAACCCAACCAAAAGAACTTACACACCCTTTTTATGGAGTAAAGAACAAATAAAAAGGTTCATTTAAAAATGGGCGTGTACACACACACACACACACACACAGAGAGAGAGAGAGAGAGAGAGAGAGAGAGAGAGAGAGAGAGAGAGAGAGAGAG